AAAAACTCGTTATTACATTCATAAGATTATTTTACACACCATAAAAATATTTGCGTGTGTATAGAAAATCGGCAGTCTGTTAGGCGCGTCCATTGCTACATAAAATGAGCTCAGACGTCATAAACTAGCTATATCAAGCTAACTAACTAACAAAACCAGGTTACAACACAATTTATACTAGTACCAGTGCATGAAAGCAGTCTCAGATTAGATTTGGCAATTTTGTAAGCTGATACCGAGTATCATGTAAATTCTCTGATTTATTTTAGATTCAACTTTAAATTGAGGCTATAAAAATATTTAACAAGGAATTCCTCCTTATTAAATAGTTCTGATCTGTCCAGTTGATTTTAACATTTTATTTGACATATTTTTTTTATTTTACTTCTGTAGGTGGAGCTATTCAATTTACTTAATTAATTTAATTTGTATGACGTCGAGATTGTTTCAAAGTTTACATTTCCGTAAATGTAATTAAAAGATCATAAAAAAAAGAATACAGGTAAAACAAAAACTGCCTGCTGCCACCGTAATTGATGATGTATAACGCCTGAAGAGATTTTAAATCTTGTAAAATAATGAAAATGTCAAAATGATGTTGACTGCAAAATAACAATATTATTAGTTGGCAAAATTACACGACACCAAAAAAATTTTGTTTAATAAGAAATACATTTACAGACGGTTTTATTTATTATTGTAACTGACGTAGCTAGAGATCGGAGATATTAATTCGCCTTTGTGTAACACTGGATGTTTTAAATCTTTAAACAAGGCAAGACGATATTAGATACCTAAACAGTTGTTATTTAATAATGAAAATGGGTAGTGTTTAGGATATTAGCTGTTTCCATAAATAGATGGACACTTAGAACAGCAAGGTATTAGATTCGTTGATGTTCCTTTAGTGGTGCAACATGAGTAGCTTTAATTAATATAAGACACATTTTAGTGCTATACTATTATATGAAGTCTCAAAAATAATTTATAATTCGATATTTTGTTCAAAGTGATAATCATTGAATTTTCATCAATTATTATTTAATGCGGCACTCCAAATATTTAGTAATTAGGTACCTATCTAATTCTGAATACCTACCAAAATCACGATGAAGGCATTAGAAAAGCTGTTAGAATATCGTAGTACCTTTGGTAACTTGTTATTTTTTGTACTTATTAGAAAAATGATTTTCTAAGTATTTCTATAATTTCTCTTGAAGACACAAATAGCTGATACTAAATATTGTTAGTTTCACTGCACTTTGACATGCAATACATATGCGATAAAGTATCTAGGTCACTCGCGACCCTACAAATCTAGAGCGCAGAATTCAGATATCGTAGTTTTATAGACAGATCTGCATTAGTATCCTTGATCTTATGCCAAATCACCATAGACTAGCTTAATAGACAAAGCAAAAAAAGTACTTTTATCCAGTTTTGGACTTAAGTTCAGTCCGTGCTACAATGATGTATTCTTCAATACAAAACTTACTTTTTATATTTAACTGTATTTTTGTTACGGCTAATTGAAGCAAAAACTCAAGATTTTTATCACACACCTTCGTGATTTTCTTTTCATAAAAGATTAATTTTCAAAGCAACATCCCCGCAGTGCTGGTATCGTCCGCACAAATTTCCTTTCATTTCTTTCTTCGCAAGATGGCGGCAACTTACGTACCCGCGTTTAGTATCCCGACATATCTGCAAATGTCTGGTCCACTTCTTCTGCTATGGCTTTATATTTACTGCGCTCTTCTACCACCTCGTCTGTCAGTAATATTAATTGGTTAGTTTTAGGTTTTTTTAATGTCTGAAACAATCTTTATTTTTGGTAAGTATATATTCAAAAATCATTTCGTAAGTAAATAGTTATACCATTGTGTCGGTACATATATATAAATATAGAACAACGGCAACCTAAGTTTCAGTAGTCAAATTTCAGCTCCGATCAGCCTGTCACTTCAGTCACCCGACATGTAGAATTTAACTATTCAACATTGCTGGTTAGTAGACTACTAGTGTTCATCATTTATATACCTGCCTATTTAATTCTATCAGTTTATTATAAATCATTATTGATCATGAAAATAATTTAATCCTGTTTTTCTTAATTAATTAGTATTTTTAACTTTGATTTTAAGAAATATTAATTTTATCCGACCTTGGTTTTTGGCCCGACATTGGACCTATAAAGAAACTTTTCTCTTGGGCGTATGTATGTTCTTTTGTAGAAGTTAACCTTTTGAAGCCAATAAACACCTACGCGTGGCACTTGTAATATACAATAGGTATTATTAACTGAATATAATTTACTTCCACATAGGCAAACAACACTGGAAGAACTGCCTGTCTGAAGAATTTCAAGTCCCACATAATTTGTTTAAATAGGAATCCCTTATAAAGGAGAATCTTATTGAGCAGAAAATTATAGCTACTCTAACCCTGCGGATTCAGCTGCGCAGTCAAGTTACATCAGAATAATCTACATTCCCTGTATTTGATATAGTGCGAGTGCATGCAAAATAAAAATGGCAAAGCTTAATCTACTTACCATATCCAAAGCATTTTTACAAAGCTTTATCTACACCTAAACACATTTACACTGTATTGTATTGATACTTGTAGTGATACTTAAATACCTTTTATTTACATGCAGTATCTACATATTTAAATACAGATAACACGTTTAAATTACTATGGATACTACTACTTTTACTTACTCTAATAATTTATTTTACTTTTCATGTTGTTTTGATGTCCCTGTTGTTATATTAATAATAATAACTTCACACCATTCACACGGCCGTATGATCGCAAATTAGGAAGAACTTGTACTAGGTAACCTGACTACACCACATACGTATGTACATACACACACAACAACTTATAACACTCAGAGCAAATAATCGTGCTAATTACACAATTATTTATCGTTGGTGGGAATCGAACCCACAAGACTTTACAGGCCATTGTTAATTGTAATGTAAAAGCGATAAATTTATCTATCATATTAATCTACTTTTTAAACAGGTACATATAAACACCATATATGTATATAAATAAGATTAAGTCCTTGTATGTATCGAAATGTCAAGAAAAATTAATGTAAAATTCAAGTAACTCCACACGTATACCATAACCACTGTCGTTGCAAGTCAGGTAAGGACGTACGTAAAGAAATAATATTTATTCTAATATTTCATTTATATGTATTATAATAGGTCTTTACCTATGAAATTGCCGTTTTGTATGCAATAAGTGAAAGTACTTATTTTTTCAAACTTTTTTATCCCTTCTTGAAAAAATCAGCTGGAATTGAATTTTTTACCCACTAAAAAATTGTCTAAATTTTGGAAAAAGTAATAGTCGGTAGGTGCAAGGTCTACGGCAATTTCATAGGTAAAAGTTAGATATAGATAAGAATTAATGGGACTCATCGGTATCAGTAGTTGACCCGTGGACCAAATTATACACATTACAACCGATTTATACACATTTTACATTACAGAAATGAATATAGAATCGTTGAGGGTATATTTAAAATTCAATGCTTAATATTTTACTATTAGGTAGCTTTATATGTACCTAAATAGATATGTACCTAGACAATAAATACTCTCCGCTTTCGATTTTCTATAGAACTTTAAACAAAACTTTAGAAAAAAACAGTAAGTACCTACTTAACACACTTGGGCAATCTAGGGGCACTTAATAAAACAAAGTATAAATAATAAATTAATTTATTATATTACTTGAAAATAAATACCGCCATAAAGCTATTGATTTTAATACTTTAAATCAGGAGTATAAAATATAAAGTAAAAATACATCTATTTGGATATTGTTTGAATCGCGGGCGGTGGTAAATGATGCCACAACGTGTCGGAGTGACCATAACCAAGTCCGAAAGCGAGCGACAGCGCTTAATCCTTGAGGATGAGCTCCACGAAGGCGGTGTCGAGGTCGTCTCCGATGTCCTTGTACTTCTCCTTCTCCGCGACAAGTTCGTCTGTACATTTGACACACCATTACATAATTTGCTCAACCGGATTTTAATACAAAATAAAATAGTCTATCACTGTTCCTTTAAGTTCCAGATTCCTCCCAAAGTCAAGTCGTAATAAATTAGTTTCAGTGTTATGACGATTACAGACGGTGCATATCCTGGCGTAGTATCAGTACAATCTGTACGCAGTGTAGTCTGAAGCAGCTAAACGCGCTTATGTAGATAGTATATCCGTTAGTTATGTAACCTGGTAAATCATTCCTTGACAAATCGTATACTATCCATCACATCAAGATCCAATTTCACCGTCTATAAGCGCACAATTCGGCAGCAGATATGTAAGTAAAAAGTATTAAAAATGCTTACGTATCGGTTCCTTGTTATTTTGAAGCCATGCGTCGGCTCGCTGAGTTACTTAGAAGCGCGTTATATGTTTGCATAGAAAAATAAGAGATTTCGATAGAACGTCCAATTAGTGTCACATGCAAACTCAGTTAGAAAGCATCGTTTCTTAATTTTGTTACTGTTTAATGTTGTTTTAACAGAACTAAAGGCCGCGTATTGTGTAACGCAAAAAAATGCATGATGAGTGTGGCGGATGAGATGCGGCTCAGTGGCAGCACGTGCAGCGCTCGCAGACGCGCGGCGCGGGCGCGGCCGTGCGCATGCCGAGGTCGTCGAAGGCGCAGTCCAGCTCGCCGCCGATCTCGTGGAACAGCTCCTTGCTGGCGATAAGGTCGTCTGCGGACACGGGTGCGGTCACTCGTCAGGGTCCGTAGCCGGCGGTCGCTAATTTCACACGCATGCACACCGACCGACGAGGCCCGGGGCCCACGCAAAACGGGGTAAAAAAATTCCATCAGCTATAGTTCCAGACGGTTATATGCATATAAAAAATACTTTCCGAGAAAACGTAGAACGATAATGTAACACTAAAACGCGCCGCGGCATGTCGAGCAAAAGTCCGTGAGCACCGAGCAGACATTTGAATTTACGACGGAGGTGCGGCGTCGGCGGGAGGTGCAACCGGAGCCGGTGTTGCCTCCGCTTGCGCGGGCGCGGCAGGGGCAGCTTCAGTTGGTGCGACGGGCGTTGCGGTAGGATCGGCGGCAGGTGCAGTTGGCGCTCCCCCGGCAGGAGGAGCAGCCCCTGCAGGAGGAACGGCTGGTGCTCCCTCTGCAGGTTGTGCGTCGGGTGCTCCTTCTGCAGGTTGCGCGGTGGGTGCGTCCGCAGGGGGGACGGTGGGTGCTCCTTCTGCCGGGGGAACGGCGGGTGCTCCTTGTGCAGGCGGAACGGAGGGTGCTCCTTCTGCAGGGGGAACGGCGGATGCTCCTTCTGCAGGGGGAACGGCGGATGCTCCTTCTGCAGGGGGAACGGCGGGTGCGCCCTCTACAGGCGGCACGGCAGGCGCTCCCTCTGCGGGTGGAGCAGCTCCTTCTACAGGTGGAGCACCCTCAGTGGGAGGAGCTGAACCTTCTGCAGCAGGTACGACACCCTCAGCCAGCGGAGCCCCGTCTGCGGGTGCGGTAGGCTCCTTGGGATGCAGTCGCTCGTATTCCTTACGCGCCTCCTCCTCAGCGATACGCGCTGCCTCTTCAGCGGCCTCCCGTTCCTTGCGCGCTGCCTCTTCAGCGGCTTCACGTTCCTTGCGCTCCGCCTCCTCGGCCGCCTCTCGCTCCTTACGCGCCGCCTCCTCGGCAGCCTCCTTCTCCTTGCGCGCCGCCTCGAGAGCTGCTTCTCGCGCCTCACGCGCGATTGCGAGCTGGCGGCTGTTGGGGTCGACTCCGGGGATGAGATCCACGAATGAGTCATCGATGCCATCTTGAATGTCGTTGAAAGCCTCTTGGGCGTTGATGAGATCATCTGCAGCAGCAGTGGTGGACCATGAACGATCGCTCGCAAATGCATGCCATGTCAGTTAGCACGACGGGGCCAGGGCGCCAAGCGCTACGCTAGGGGTCGTGCAGGTCTTCTCATGCCCCGTGCTTCGGACGATGGTATATTATACAATGCTTCTAGTACAACTGTGATTGATTCAATCTTCGCTTTCTGAGAGTAATTTTGCATCACCCCTGATACCCCAAATTTATTTACCGGTGCGAATTTTTGATGTTTTGATGAGTATATTACATGTTTTATATGATCATGATAGAAGTTATAGCTGACAGAATCAAAAGGAAGTTATTAAAGAGATGAGGACGATTAGGTCACACGTGTTAGTAAAAAATACAACAGTGTAAAAATAATAATATATATTCATAAACACTTTTATTAGAATACTCTTAAAAATCATTAAATTATTTTTCACGAACTTATCTATCATTTCATTAATCGATAACATTAAAAAAGACGGACTCCCTACATAATTGTATAGCTCGAGGGCCATACTAAGCGATGGACGGTGTGACGTCACGCCACGGCCCGAACGAGGCTGCCAGCTCTATTCTACGCTTAATACGCGACGGACGTTTAACTAAACTTTACAACTTGGAATAGTCGCCATTTGTTCATCGATTAATTTAAATAAATAACAACAAACTCAAATTATGACACGAGAAAATCATGCTCCAAACATAATAAGAATATCAAATATTTCCAATTTAGCAAGAATATTTCTATAAATATCATTATTTATTGTATTACCGTCACTCATTGAATAAAAATATCTAATCTCTTCACTAACATTAAGTAAATTAAGTTCATAATAAGTTGCAAAACAGTGCATATGAAAAGCATACCATACAACGCTTGGTATGCACTAATCCCGTTTAGTGAAATATAAAAAAATAAGTCGAAATTGAATACAGCGACTAATTTGTTCTACAAATACATTCAAAATTTCATTGTTGTACAAAAACTATGTGCATCTCTATACCATAAATAACGCTTAATGTCTTTTAAGTTGAACGTAAAATGTGCAACATTTTGGACCCCGGTTTGGAATGTCGATATTAACATTTTATATCTTACACTAAAGTGCTAGAGAAGCGATTACTGCATACGTCTTATATATCATTCATTTGACATAACAGGCACGCTCGTAAAGTAATGACTATAAAACAAATTACACATTTCAACTATATGGACATACATATTAGTAATCTGTGGAGGAAATAAAAAAATTGCACATGGCAGTGCTATCGTAGCGAACACTCGATTTTCTGACGTTACTTCAAAAAGCGGCTGGCAATTATTCTATAACTAATAACATCTATTCGCACGCTCGCCTCAAATACCCAATAGCAAAGAAACTAGAGGCAAAAAGTTAACTAAATAGATTTCTTTTTCAGATGGCTAGTTCACTCTCCACAACATTTTAATTAATTTTAGCGTCAATTATAAGATTAAATAGAATGGACACACTTTCAAAGATAGCGTCGCTCCAATTTTACGTATGATACATTGGGATTGTGCGCTAGAAATGGAACAAGCTATGAGTTAGTGAGTCGAGCGCGCGAGCATGGGAAGGGACGAGGTGTTCACATGTTCTGGATGTCGTGGAGCGTGGCCTCCATCTCCTCCTGAAGGAGTTTGCTTTTTTCGCGCTCGGCCACCAGATCGTCTGCAAGATCGGACGTGGGCCACGGTCAGTGGGACACACAACAAACAGCCATTTGATCCATACATTTATTGTAAATTTTTGTACAGTAAAAAGCTTTCGAATAAATGTTCGGATCAACCAACACAAACAAAAACAACATCGATATAAAACCATGCCAAATCACGAAAATAAAACACATTAAAGTTTCGAGCGGTCTAGTAGGAGACATTTAAAATCATGCTAACAAAAGACATGTACAGAACTGACTTTGAAACGCCAGCAACGAGAGTGAATTGTACGAAGCGATAAAAAACAAGAGATCGTGCTGCGTGCGTTAACAAAAACAATTCTGTAGTCATTAAAAATAAAATAACATTGTTACTATGAAATTAAGATAAAAAAAAATAAGCTAAGATTGTAGCAGAAATGATAGAAAAAAAGCTTTCAAATCTATTGTACAGCATCGTAACTCATAAGACAGCTCTAATGACAGCTGAGGTGGCATAATGTAAGTGCGTAATGTCCAAAGCTTTGTTATTTTCAAACGTGTTATTTAAACTTGACTTCAGAGATTTAAATTGTTGACTTAACCAACTGCTGTACGAAGAATAGCTCAGTATATATTCTGGAGATCCTTGAAAACTTGGAAAACTAGCATCAATAAAATAGGTCAAATTAATTATCATTTTTCTTTATGCTCTCAGTCGCATATAATCAATATTTCTGCTACTTTTTTAATACTCTCATGGATAAAATATATTTTTTCATTTCTTTTTAATTTTGATAAATGAAATGTTAGATTACCTTCAAGCCTGTCGACCTCCTTCTGGAGTTTCTGCACGGAGCGCTCAGCAAATTCAGCACGCGCCTCAGCCTGTAAATATTTAAGATTTTATTTTAACTTTGGAACTTTCAGAAACAGCCTATTTTCTAGTGCATTGATTATATGATTCTAGTCTAGCATTTTTTGAATGTTAAAATGTATTTACCTATTTGATTTAACACATAATACCAGTGTTTTAACATTATATTAAAAAAGTAAATATTTTTATTAAATTGCTTTTAAAGAGAAAATAGGCTGTTTGAAACTTGGACATGCATAATCAGAAATAGTTTTTTTTTCTTAAAAACAGTTAATATTAAAAGTAAAACATTATTCAAAAACGAAAAAACTATGTTACAAACAATTAAAGCCACAATCACCATGCATTTTACCTTTACCGAAAGCGGCTAAGTGCTGAGTGGTGACACTACAACACTAAATAACAATACCGTTACCCAATATATATACTAAATGAGTGTGAAAATAAAGATATATACTTATATAAGAACATGTTGTACATAGTTGATGCAGAGTGCTCTGGTCATCTTTACAACGTTAATAAGAAAATAAATTGTATCGACAACACGAAATTTTAATTGTACCTACTGTTTAAAACTTATTAATTTAATATTTTTTAAAACTTATTAATCAAATATTGCAAATTGATCATTTACACATGAGTACATTTAAATTGGCATTTCAAGATAATTTCGCTAATCACGATTAAAAATATTATTTAATTTATTTTTCCTAAATTCAAAACATTTGAAGTGTTTTCAAAATTTTTAAGAATTTTTTTTATTACATATTCGAGACGACCAGATCACCTGTGGTTCACAAAACTTACTTGCGATAGTTTCTGCGAGAGGCTGTGGATCTTATCCTCGACGTGTTCACGTGACGCCATTGCCTAGCCACACAGGATGAATTACTAACGGCAAGCCACCGACATGCCGCCTGTGTTGTGACTGTACACTTTTGTCCATATAAGGTTTTTGGGAACGAGGTGAATTGCACACATATAATCACTGATTGTTTATATTACATTGGAGACCTTAGACACCGTGGATGCCGATTAATTTACCCATTTTACCTTAATAATGCAGAAGTTTCTAATTGAAGGTCCATGAAATAGTTTTGTGTCATTGGATAAAACGAGGACACTGAAGTGGTAATCTTAAGGTGAGAGGGCTCTTAATATACAGAAATCCATAAAGCATATAATCACAACACAAACGTATAGTACATAGAGCTAGATACAGAAATACACAGGTATAGAAATAGAAGATAGTAGTCGTAAATAGATATATAGGTGAAGCACCAACCGCCGTTGCTCGACACAAGAGCCTACACCAAACGAACGTGGCCTTACGATGTAGCACCGAAAATTCAAAAATGTCAAGTCAAAAGCACCTTAAAATTTGATTATACTTCCAGCCTTAAAAAACTTTCGGTTCATGACCTTAAAAGTGTTATTTTAATGATCACGCAGATTTTAAATTTGATGCATTTCAGCTAATTTGCACCTTGTCAAGTGCCAGTGACTAATCATAAATACATTGCTTACTCTTTACCGTTTAGATAAATACAAGTTTATAAAGGGTACAAACAATGTAAACGAAAAGAACACTTGCAATAATCAAAGTGTAGAGATACCCTTGCCAAAAATAATAATGAAAGTATATTCTATAACTTCAATATGAGGCTCATTAAATTGACATTTTTGCCGCAGAAGGTACAACATACTAATCCAAAACACTGAATGGCAATGAACATGAAACGAAACTACAACCGTAACCAATGCTATCTACGTAATCTTCCGGTCCGGCAGCTGTGTTACCTCTTTTAGTTGAGCGTCCAGGAGTTTCGCTTGATTCTCGTATGTCTCTTCCCTTTGTGTAGCCTGCGATTATTATTTGTTAACGAAAAACACAAAACAGCGAAAACCGGGTACATGCGGCATCGCGCAGTGTTGCCCTATTACATACAACTCTGCGCGATAATTAAAGTTGTAAAACATTTAAAAAATACACTAAAAACTATACAACGACATAACTGTTAAGAAAGGAAATATTCACAAGAGTAAAATAAGATTAACGTAACAATATTGAGACGACTACACGCGGCGCAATCACAGACACGCTACTCTTCGATTCCCATTTACCATTAAGTTAGAATTCTTATTTGTTGCTTTTGTTACCAAAATTATGTCTTTTAAATCTAAATTCTCATTTTTTTTAAATTCACAATTAGATAGACAAAACAAATCGAGTAACCAAATGGTTTTAAGCTGACATGATGCTGTTTTAAATTATGTGTCTGTATGGGAAATGAGACGGAGAGACTACACTAGAGTGTGCGGCAGAATGCAGTTATACAAGCTAACAGAAACACTCGCAAAATAAACCGATCTCGTTAGCATTCACACCTCCTTTAGGCGGGTGGTGAGGGTTTTGATTTGGTTTTTGTACTCTTCTTCGCGTTGGTTGGCCTGTATACAATTTTATTCGTTACTTATAAATACTTTAACACACGCTCACCTCAGACATCCAATTCGGCTTTACTTCGAATTCCTAGCCTTAGTGTACGACACTATAAGGATTTTTTTACAATACTTGCTAATACATTTTAAGGTTGGTGCATCAATGGTTGTTATTCTTCTAAATAATCTTAAATTGAGTTTTTAAGGATTAAATCATCCATGTTCTTAGCTCAAACCCTAGCTTATATATTCTTAATGGAAAGCTCAAATAATTACCTTCTCCTCGGAGACTTCCAGGGATTTCAGGTTGTTACCAACGACACGGAGCTCCTCCTCAAGTTCGACGATTTTGCTGAGGAAAAATAGAAGAGACAATCAATTTCTACTGTAATTAGCAAAAAAAAAATGAATGAAAAAAAATGTTTCAAGGGCTTCATTTACGATACTTTCAGAGTTTATATACTACAAGGTGTAATATGTTTTGTCAGAAATCAATAACAACATTAACAAGCTACCTATTGACAATTACACTAACCTATTATTGGTACATATTTAAGGGGCATTTTGGACAACAATCTAGTCAATATAAATTTACCATCGGTCACTTGATCAGAGAACAATACATTTGACAATTTACACATTAAATGTTTCATATGTAGTAAAAGATTACAATGCTTGTTAAAAATATTAATATGCATGATGTGCTATTTATACAAGGTGTCTCAAAAGAAAGTTTATATTTAGTAGATCGATTAAAAAAAAAGTAAGCAGTGTATCGAAAAAATGTTTATTAATGATTAAAGTACACAATTTGGGAATTTATTTCTTAAAAATAATATCCTCCAAATGTAGACCCTCGCGTTCGCGGCACTCATTTAATCGAACAGTAAAATTACTTATGACGGCTCGGCAGGTGGACTCAGTGATGGCTGCCATTTCGTGACGGATATTTTCTTTCAAATGCGCCAGGGAAGTCGGTTTATTCGCGCAAACTTTAGATCTAAGATAACCCCATAGGAAAAAGTCCATAGGGGTTAAATCAGGACTGCGTGGGGGGCAATTTATGTCACCTCTCCTGGAGATCAATTTCCCTGAGAAAATTTCACGAACTCGTGGCAGAGACGTATTGGACGTGTGTGACGTTGCTCCGTCCTGCTGGAACCATGTTCTTTAGTTATGGCCAGGCAAGTTTTGCAGTTCAGGCGCCAAGAAGTCGTTTAACATCTCCACATAACGCTCTGAATTCACTGTAACTGCACGCCCCCTTTTGTCTTCAAAAAAGTAAGGGCCGATAATTCCTCGCGCCGACATCGCAGCCCATACTTTCACTTTAGGCAATTCTGCTTATTTACGTGTCCATTAACATGAAAATAAGCTTCATCCGAAAACAAGATGTTGGTAAACGTTGAAAAGCGCTCAATCGCCTGATTTACGAAGTCAAGCCTCTGACTGGCATCTTGGGGCTTTAATTCTTGCACCAATTGAATATTGTAGGGGTGCAGCTTTAGGTCTTTGTGCAAAATGCGGTGAAATGATGATCTATGCACATTTAAAGCACTTGCGCGCTTCCGAATTGAAAGGTTCGGGTCGTCACGAACAGACTGATTAACACTCTCCACGTTTTCTGCCGTTCTTGATGACCTTGGTCGCCCGGATTTTGGTTTTTCCAGCGTTGTACCGGTCTCTTCAAACTTTTTGACCCATTTTCGAATAGGAGGAATGCTTGGCGCATCATTTAAATGGCGAAAACCTCGAACACAGTCTGTATACAGTCGCCGAATCACCGTTTTTGTAAAACTCTCGCACGCACAACGTACGGTCTGCTCCCGAGAAACGCTCCATAGCAACTGGATTCCCAAGAGCCAGGCTACCGATTGACATAACCCCCGCGCCCCTCGGACTCGTTGCGTTCACGCAGTAAGCTAAATAAATATAAACTTTCTTTTGAGACACCTTGTACTTCAAATTTAACAAAACATGCAGAATTGCCAAGACGATGATTTTCATATCGAAATGCTAAATAAGGTCTGGTGTACTGATAAAAATAATCGCCTTGGTAACTAAATATATCAATTTATCGGCAATGTCAGTGAAAATAATGCAATTTCGTAAATACTTTGATAAAATTATTTTACAATTAAAAGGATCGTTTGCTTGATTTCACTAGCATTTACCAAACGGTATGATATCGTGCAATGTGTTAAATTACGTGGAAATTAACATTGAACCACTTGCAACAATTCTATACTTGATACTAGAGGACTAATGCAACTGCAACTGGATTTAGTCTTCTAGAGTCAATGTAGTAATATCTCAAACACACTAGCTACTTACATTTTGTTATACATTCGTTCTACCCGTCAAATAAAAGTTAAGTTTTTATAGTAATTCTCTAGTGAGGCAGTTTTTTTTAACAGTCAAACTGGGACAAATGTAAGGCCCATCTATTTATGTACATACGAGTATTTATATAGTTATATTCGTCCGAATGATGAAGGTCGACCCTGAGTAGCGAGTGTGATCGAGGTGTAAAGCCGTACTCACCAGTCGCTCTGCTCGGCGCGTTCCTCGGCCCGTTCGAGGTCCTGCTCCATCAACACGAGCTTGCGCGCCACCTACCGCCGGCCGAGCGTTAGTACACGCCCACACGCACACACACACAACACACACTACTCACATTACTCTACTGAGCCGGGCACCGCTCTCCACTTGCTTCGCGACATCGTGCAGTGCTATAGTAAGTACCTTACGCGTGGCTTATGCCTGTGCTAGTGTTATAATAAGAATACTACGCCAAGGTGTAAAGTGCATAGGGAACACATTAATTACTACTAATGTAGTTGTGCTCGTAGATGGTCAAAGGATGGCTCACTACAAATCATGTACATAAGTGAACAGAAAGTTACTCATGAAACAGGAACGAATAATAATCAATTCTATCAGTGTTTACCGAGCTCTTCTGAGTCAGGGTATTCTTTTTATTCTTTCGGCTGTAAGTGTGAATCTACATTGTGCAGGTATTTCCAAATTAAATTAAGGGTTTCCTGGTAAAACTAAAAAGCAAAGCTATGGTGGTACTTAAGCAAACACACAAACAACGTAAAGTCAAAAAGGATCACACAAAGCGGGGGGAGTAGAGAGCGGTGTCAGAACTCACTTAATTAAAAATATAAACGAGGGTTGTCCCAAAACATTTAGTTCTACAAATTATTTTCAATAAAACATTAATTATCTAAGTGCTATCTAGTGCATTTTTATATTCATTAGGTGATGTGTGCGCTTGCATATGTGCGGCACGCATACGGCCAGTAATTCTGGTGTAATGCGGTGCATATCTGAAAACGAAAATTGCCCTATACCACACATATTTCCTGACAACCTAACCTAAAGCCACGTTTAAGTAGTACACACACGGAAGACAGAAGTTTAGTCGACACATGGACATGATAGTTAAACATTTGCATAAGAAATATCCATGAAATGGGGCAACCCTTGTTTTAGTCTGACAGGTCCAACGACCCTCGAGTGAGATACGCATCACGCGAGGGTCACTAGACTGCACCGTATCCTTACAATTAAGAGCGATGCCGCTTCAATAAACACTATGAACCGGCACCACCGTATTAATGTCATGACAAATGCAAAATAATTAATGTCCTGCTGCTCAGCTTCCGTCTGTAACTCGACCTAGAATAGCGACATGCAATAGGAATAAGTGAGCCGATGTTAAAAATACCTATGTAGGTAAATCGGGTTACTGTGTGGAATGTTAAGAATGCAAATGAACAACCATGCAGAACGGAGGCGAAAACTTGCAATACAGCGCGTCGAGACCACTGCGATAGCGACGATTACTGCGTGACACGCTGGAATGGCGTTGTCGAGTCGTGTCAAACCGATACCAGTTAATGTAATTCTTATTTCAGCAAGTGTCAGTGGCGAATCGCGGCAGTGGCCCCTCGGCTTTACGGAATGAAACCTACGATTCACCGGTCTCAGCACGCTCTTCCGCGCGTTCCAAGTCAGCCTCAACCATGGCCAGCTTACGAGCAACCTGGAGACACCAGATCATATTAAACAGCCGGCAAATATTGAGATCATCGAACATATGTAATTCGTTAAAGCTTTGTGTCAGTGTCAGTCTTGGGCAAGTACTCAACTCATATATGGAAGTAATGCTTATGTAACGTCATGTGCGATGAAGGAGGCTAGTTCACCATATAAGGCTCGGCGAACAAGATCAGGCCCGATTCAATTCCTTCTTGGGACGCTGACTTTTACGACTGCCTTCACTTCACCGCGCAGGGTCATATGTCAGGGGAATTAGGACGTATTATTGTCAAGTAAGCCATCTGTTATCAAAGCCCAATGACTATAATTTCGATGGATACATCGAAGATGATAAAATTTTCTCGATCGATAGAATTTAATAATATTGACTGTTTGCTTGATCGCCACGATATGAAGCTCATAGCAGTTAATTTGCAGGGAAATGTTAATCAATCTGTTTCAAATCTAAAACCATCTTTTAGTAGAGTAACATCTTGAATCAAACAAAAAAGTGATTTCATTGAAGGTAACTTCCAAGTTTGTTAAGAGTTGAAATTATTCATTTGTAAAAATGTCAGTAGGATTTGTAAAGAAAAAAAAACAGGATAACAGCTTTAAAACTTGTTACACGATACACGACTATTTGTGGGAAATATTTTAGGAACAAAAACATAAATCAGGGTTTGAAAACAGTCCATTTGCGAGTCTTCAAGACGCTCGCCGACGCAACATTGCATCGTTATGAAATATTCATTACATACATGCGTATGAAGCAAGACAAGCCAAACCAAACGACATCTAAACTCCCATATAAAGACCTCATCGTATTTCTTGTCAGCCTCCTCAGCGAGGAACCTTGCTTCCTTCAGCTGGTTCTCCAGGGCGTCCATACGCTCTTCATCGGCCAACGACCTGTTCTCGAGAACCTTACGGGCACTGGACGACGGAACATACAACTTTAGTATATGATAGAATGTGGCTATTCAAGAGGATGTATTCAAGGGCAACCCATTGTTAGAAGACATGCAAGAAACGCACAGTAAAGAGGAACATATAAAGCAAGACAAATCTGTTGTACTGGATCTGAAATAAAGTGTGAAACGGGCAATAATCTATCACTTTATAAGCGAAACCTGTTATTGCACGTTCCAACATTATAAGTAACGAACTTAACCCGCAAAAAAAACGGGATCTTTTTATGATGTTAAAGTAGCCTTAAAGTTTCGTACATAGCGATGGCACCTTTATATTCTAAAATTATGAATTAAATATAAATATCTGTTTTATAAAAAGATCACGTAGGTATATTCGCAATGTTTGAAACTTGTTACATTTAAAACCAAATAATCTGAGATCGCTTAAACCAACTAGGTACTAATTAAATTCAAATATTAAAAAATACGTTAGACTAAATTATGTACTTTTTTTGTTTTGAGATTATCTGGTTCCAAATGGACAAATCTGATGCAGACTTTTGTTTCACAAAATATTCGTAATATACTGACACCAAAATGTCTTTCTTTTCTAAAACACTCGACATTTAAAAAATAGATTAATTTTTTTTATTGTACAAATATTCAATTCAATATTTAATTTAATCATATTACCAGACACGGTGTCATCTACACGAATATAAGAAAAGTCCTCTATTCCACAAAAGTATTTAATTAAGTAATCATAGCACGACTATGGCGCTTAAAACATGCTAACTGTCGTGGAACAGGGGACCGTCCAACCAATTACACGTCTGCTATCAACCAAAGCGTCTTTCGTCGCATTCCATTGCAATCTCGTTTCGTCTTTATTTGTGACATCACAACAATACCGTAACGGAATGAGTTGAAATGACTTCAATAGTTCTTAAAGAATGTTCACCTCTAGATTTGTATTAACAAAATGCAGTACTTATGTCATTTTATTGACTTTGTGAGTAGGTACAGTCACATCAGTCGGCAACATTGCTTGGACGATGTGTGAACATTCTATAAGCCACTGTGACTTCACAGGTAAGCAATCACCTCTTCGTATTTCTTGTCGGATTCTTCGGCGATGAGTTTGGCCTGCGACAGCTGTGCTTCTAAGATGGCGACTCGGTCATCCTCCATATTGGTTCGATTCTCCAACGCCTTGCGTATTCTGGTTAGTGCGGGGCCAAACACATGCGTGTTATAACATCGATAAAACACTAGAACTATTGTATGTAGTTATGTGGCTTTTTATGGCGTGGAAAAGGCAAATCTCTCACTTTCATTGATTTTGAAAATGAAAGACTTTTAAATTGGTAAGATAATTTTGCAACAGAAATAGATTATGAAAAAGGTTATGGAAACTCGTAGTACAATAGTAGTTTATCAAGAATATGGTGGTTACGGGCGTAAAAATTAAAAAAAAAACAGTCATGCACACAAAAATAGTCATATTTACAATGGAAGTACAAATATGAACTGTGTCTAAATAATCCTATTTAGGCTTGAGTTTGAAGAAGCCTTAGTTGACAAAGGTTTATCCATTACCCGATTTATTACACACGAAATATTACGTGTACTGTTTTGTGCAACTCAAAGCGATACTGTCATCAATGGCTTCATCAAATCGGCATTATCTTTCATTAAAAATTTAATTAAATTAATCATAATTATTTATGTATTTAAACCTATCCCCATTTATAAAGGATTATCATCAGTTTCCTTATTTTGAACCATTTGGTTGTGTTTACAAACAAGAGCACATTATGATAATATTTTTATGGGTTTCGAACCCAATAACTATTCATTGTTGTATTATTTATATATTTCCCTTATGAAACCTGTCTGCTGGCTTTACAGGATTGATATTAGATATTTAAAATTAGCCTAATGTCATTGTTTAAAGTTAAACCGTATTGTTTTGATTTGTCTTTTATAGTTACAAAAAAAAACAGATATGTCTATTACGTATAGAACTCACCGTTCGGACTCATCGGCAGCCTGGCTGGCCTCAGACAACTTGGCGGTGGCAGTAGCGAGACGCTCCTCGGACCTCTCAAGATCCTCCTCCAGCAGTTGGATGCGTCGGTTCAGAGCAGCCACTTCGGATTCGGCCTAAACAAAAAAAATTATACATCAGATTTCAAGAGTACACAGTTTCTTGTATTGCCTAAATCTATAAACATTTGAATATCATTACTTATGTAATTTATACATATCATAAGCACACAGTACATATCAATGGGTACCTAAAATTCAATAGTGCTTTCAGCTGGAGTCGTGGTCAATAGATTTATAGAAAGTTAGATTCCTAGAAGTAACGTACCTTTCACTATGGTAAATACATCTGTAATGCCTACATTCAGTTCAAGCGAAATAACGTGCTTATAAATCTAAACATTTCGATGAATATGGCAAAGTAATAAGCCACAAGTTATGAGAGTGAAGCATCACTTGGATCTAAAAGACTAGACGATTAAATTTCAAGTTTCGAGTTGTAATTTTTACCTTGTATGCTGTTATTAATGATAGTACTTAATTTCCTATTTAATAAAATTTCCTAATAGTTTTTTACAGACATAATTATTACCAAATAAAGAGTTGTCACCAACGCATATACGAAACTACTTTTTTTATTAAAAGATGTATAAAAGATTCATTTTGTATAAATCAATGATAAATATCAATAGATTAGAACGTCGCGACGTTGAGCGTATGCTAGATGTAGGTACCTACGTACTATTTTAACGCAGCGACTAAATCAAAACAGGTTTGTCCCATAATGTGCTCTTTATTTTAGCGTAACTTTCCATCTATCAAATGTATATTGTTCTGGTTTATGAATCAAAAGGTCCGTGGTGTTTCTGAATTATTTAAATTATTGTTCGAAGCACATCTATAGTTAAAATATTCTGACATTTAGGTGACCAAAGTTGGCGAGTAATACACGAGTTCTTTTGGACGTAAGAATGTCACCGTACAATAGACATTGTTAAACGTTGAAACCCTATACGTGTCGAGAATTAACTATTAGACGGTGAACATTTTGCGTTATATTTATATTCAATGTATTGCACATGCCCATGACATCACGTGTCCTTGTCGTGAGGAAGCACTCCCGAGTCCTAGTTTCTCCTCCACGTTTATCCTGTGTCGTCATCACAGCATGAATGCTATAAATAGTACTGATCGTTGAAATCACACGTATAATAAACTCTAATACAGTTCGTATCACGTGACATAGAATAAAAAACTTTATGAGTATTAAGTAGGTATTAACTAGAAAAATAATTCTGTTTAACAAGACAATCGTAGCAACTTTTTTGAAAGAATCTAATAATATGTCTAGTCGTGGCTATTTCAAAGATCAGTAGCCAAGCGTCACCTTGAACTCTGAGCATAATTTACATTGACGATTTACCTCAGGCTATTTTAAAATTAGTAACTTAAGCCTCTTATTTAGAGTTCGATAACCTTTTAAGCTTGTCCATTGGAATGCATAAGTAAAATAAAACATTCTCCTTAATATCACTTAAGGCGGATACGGATTTCAAACGCTACAGATGCAGTTTACCTGTAGTTCACTTTCATCGGTAACGGAAACCCATTACTAAAAATTTGTGGGATTGGTTAGGGCGATGGCATTGAATTCATTCAATGATCGAACACAATAGGCTAGCCCTTGCAAGCCCAATAAATTGTAACACAACACCGTCACGCGAAGGGACCATCATTTGGGATGGTATGTTGAGTGCATGCAACGTTCGGAATTCAATATTGAATCATTACTATCAAAATTATTAAATAGCGTCAATGATTCATGAAAACGGTTAATTCGAAATATGACTCAAGAGATACGGCAGGAACACTTAGGGCTTTAATGATACCATATTTGCAAATGAAGTACTAATAAGACAAGTAGGTACCTATTGTTAACGAGCTTCATGAAGTACAAGTAATTGATCGGTGTATATTAATTTCAGACATTGTAATTATTTATACAAATGGGCCGACAGCCTTGTTCCATCTCCATAGGTATATCCTATGAGTGAGCATTATTTTAAATGTTGACCTCAACTATTACCGTTTAACAAGTCGATGTGAGCTCCCAATGTAAGTACACGCCCACAATGAGGCACAAAAAATTGTCTATTTCAGTGGTTCAGAACGTCTATTACATTTCGGTTTCTGCACGAATATATAATAGGTAATAAATTTTATACTGAATGACTAATTACTCCTTCACAGTACCTCAATCTAATGTATCGTTATCGTCGTGATACAACTAAGACGATAAGACGTACTGTTTTCAAGATACCTAAAACGAATATAGTAAATTACCCGAATAACGTATTTGAATAAGAAGCAAATTGTACATTTTATAAAAAAAAATTTTTTGACGCTAAAATGGACTTTTTCAAGTTCAAAGTGCAAAAGGCTTCTTATCATTAGGTATACCCTTTCTGAAATTTAAAGCATTTTTCTTTTATTTCTGGAGTCTTTTTGGTTATACCAATGATATAAGAAAAAAATAGTCTGGTAATTTCAGTAGTTCATTTACAGGTGTTTAGGATATGAGCATTACTCGCTCTGTGCGTTACGTCATACGACGATAACGACGAGTAAGTCGGACACGCCTTCATGGCGCCAGCGGTCCTTCGAGGACGTCCGAACAGGAATGTACTAAGGGGTGTTAAGCTTCACAATTCCAGCCGCCTCGCTCTACATGTGCCACAAAAGACCGGTATATGACCTCCAACGCAATCAAACCTGTTACATACAACAGAAACCGGCATATAACCGTGTGGCGATAAAATTATGTAAAGACATTACAAGAAATCTTTCACATCACCCAATGATAGGTCTCTAAAAGAGCAAGACTTCGGGCCAATATTGAAGTCGACGACATGAATGTTTTCGGTGAAAAGAACTAATATTCACCCTCTCTTTCTGTGAGATTAAGCTAAGATGAATCCGAAAGAGAGGTCAATATGCGTACGTTGCCTGCACACCTAAGTATGGCCGGACATTACTCACTATAGGTAGATAGTTTATGACTACTGATAACTCCAATTTCGACCCAAAATGAATTTAACACAAGCACAATAGACTTAACGTTTCACAAATATCACAGCACATATATAAAGCACGTTTTCTTACTTCTTCTCTTCGCATTATTTCCACTTGTAAACGTTTGTGATATTCCTCACATTCGTCCTTATATTTTTCCATTTCCTCTTTCGTCTGCCGCATTTTTCGTTTTAGAACGTCCAAAATCGTTCCTTGCTGCATGTTTGTAGTCATTTTTATGCACTTTTGTGTTTAAATAAGATGCCTAAAAGCTAAAAACTAGAGACACCTTCGCTCTACTCGCGAAAATGCCAACTGACTGGCCCGCTCGTTATTGCCCCGTATAGTCGCGATGGGCACGGCACGAATGAACACAGCCGGCGAATAAAATGGCCGCCGCACTTAGTCGCTGGAACGTTATCGTAACTATGTTAATTAGAGTTGTTTCTGAATTGATATTTTGTTAAAATCAAGATTTAACTACAATTGAAATCAACTGTTACAAAATGCACTAATATTTTACACAATTAGACATTCTTATAATGACTTTGACAACGATACATGAACAGAAACGTCACCCACACGATGCAACAACCGCGATAAGCATAATCGACCGACTGACGGAGGGACAACTAGCTCCACCTGTTGTATACGTCGGAACCTACATCCTGTAGGGTCAGAAGCGGGCTTAGAAAGAAAACCCAAAACTGTAGGATGGGTGAAACGGTACAATGAACTTACACAATGAAACTGCGGAAGTGATTTTAATTTAGTGAAGGGCTATTAGTGCACATTGTATTGAAATCATGGGAATTATGTTTCATGTATATGTTTGTGTAATTCGTTTATGTAACTTCCAGTCCTTCCTTATATGTACATACTGTATGCAGAAATGCTACATAGTACTTATAGTAGGAAAATGAAAAATAGAAACCTGATCGTTTGAGGCAATCCTGAATGCTAATAAATACTTGCAATTATTTTACTATATACAAGCCAACGCCATCTATGGGAGCGCTTAGTAACTTTAGCAACGTGTCAGGTGCTACGTAGCTGTTAGCCAATAACAGAGCTAGCGATCAACCACGAGCAATTTACACAAGACTACCGAAATTCAATGACGTCATTTCGAAAGTATGTGTGCACTGTGCTTCTTTTAAATTTCGTTAAGTAACCCGGCCTTTGCCACAAAAAATAATGTCGATAAAACAGTACCATCTAGACTCAGACGATGGTGAATTTTGGTGAACTAAAAAAAAGCTAAAGGCAAATCCACAAGTCAGTATTTATCTTGTAGACATTTTGTTATCCAATATCTCTCGGTTATAAACCTAGCAACTTTCGAGATACTTTTTAAAAACAATAGGGACTACACATTGTTAAATACTCACTTGTTTTTATGCTATGTAAGTGACATTAGCAGATCTTGAGCAGATCAACGTTTGATTATGACAGTAAGTTTTTGTCACACAAGCGAAACAAGCCAGGAATATAAAGTGCACCCGTTAATTTTATTGACCTTGGCACACTTACAAAGGTATTTTCTTTTCTCCGCGAATCCAGTCAGGTTGCTCATCGAATGAAAGTCGTCTGTATCGGAAGGTGCCTTTAAATACTTATAAATCGGCCTTTTTTGTGTTAACACAACTCGCACAACTCACAGTTTTGCCAAAAACAAAAAAGTTTTCTAACACTATAATCTTACACAATTATGAACTGAGCTAGGTCACAATTGTGTAAGTCTAATAATATATAATATAATCTTCACACTTAGTTCGATTCATTATTGCTGATGGTCACATTTTCATACTTATTCTATTCTTAAGAAAGCATACATTTAATCTTGTAAAAATATTTATGGTCTAAATATATCAGTAGACGTATGCATCTACGGCGTGTTATCGTAGAGTGACATATTTAGTATGTAACGGTTAAACTAGATTCTTAATGAAACGGAACTAAACCGAGACTAAATACTGAGTAATATCATTTTAAAATTCATCTTTCTCGAGAAAAAGAGAATGTCCTAACTATCATTTAAACTA